TAAAAAAGAAATTAAAAGTTTCAATAGACTTTACTATATTGCATGGCGAAAAGAAATTACATACTCTTTTTTTTTTTTTTGTACATCTGATAATAATGAGTTATATAAAATATGATAGCCATCTTTTTTCCTTAATTTCCTTCTCATCCAACTTAAAATTTGAACTTAAAATCTTTAATTTAAAATTTCAAGTTTTAAACTAATGAACTATCCTATTAAGGATTACATACTCTATGTTAAATGTCTAAGACATAAAATAATCCATAGCCATATCAAGAATTTTGAGCTAGACATGGAAGAGTTGCTTCAAAAATAGTGTAAAAATATTTTTCTATTTGCCCAATTCCTCTTGGTTCATTTCAACATATCAAATTTCATCGGAGCGGTACATATCACAAACACCAATTTTAAGTGAGGAATTTTCTTTTTTTTAGGTTGCTTAGATGAGGAATTTTTTAAGTTAATTATAAGATGGAAAATAAAAGAATTATCAAAGAGTTCATAAAGTCATTCATAGAACCTACAAATTAATGTAGTAATTACATACCAATTCACTTAACTAAAAAAAAAAAAAAAAGTTTGCCCTGCCCTGCATGGCATTTTTATCATACTCTAGACCATGAAACCCTAACATAAAAACTACTCACCACTTAATTTATCATATTTCTTTTATGAAAAATTTGGAGAGCATAATTAATATCAAATTAAGTCACTTACGTCTAAGTTAAAATTCTTAATTCACCCAAATGGTGAGTTCCTCCCCTGTGTTCCAGTATTCATCAAAGGGTTCATCCTCTCAGTAAGAGGCGGCGCCCTTCTTGGTGATGACCTTTCCAGCTTCGGTGCTGGTTCAAATTTCTTCTGATCATTCATTCCATCACCGGAGAGAACTGGCTTTGCTTCGTAAATCTCCGGCATGGTATCGAGCTCGTGAGTGTTGGATGGCGCTGCCATTTGAATCTGATCTCCTTTGAAAGGATCATCTTGAGGTCCAAGACATGACGGCGCTGTTCCCAGGTCTTGCAGGCGTAGCTCGTCGGGCCACAGCAATGGACTCTTGCTGCTACCACCGTAAGGGCTCGGCCTTTTCTTCCCCAGACAAATGCTATCGTTATTTTGCAGGAATCCATCGAGCAACGGCCTGTCCATGTTGTGGTGAAGATCAAGTTGGTCGTTTCCATACAGATTGAGGTCTTGAAATGGCGGAAAGCTAAGGGCATGGCTGAAATCTTTCATCGCACCCATGTCGGGAACTCCTTGATTTCCTATGCTCTTGTAGCTTCCAGACGCCACGTTTTCACCAGCTAGGGTTTGACATGCTTTTTCCAAGATGGATTGCATGTATTTTCCCTGAGCTTCAATCCTCAACTGCAGGTGTCTCTGCACCTGCCATGCATAAAATTCCATAAAGGGATTTTTCATATCTAAATGATTGATCCACAATTCTTTTTCAGTTTTTTGTTTTTTTGTTTTTTTTTTTTAAGAGAGAATTTAATGCTTAGTAGTGATTGTAGATATATTTGAACATACCTCCAATTGTTCGTGTAGTCTTCTCTGCACTTCCATTTGCATCCTAATCGCATCAACCATGTGTGAGTTACTGTTTATATATACAGTTTCACACATATTCCACACACAAAGAAACAAATCCCAAACAAGAATGAAAAAATAAAAAATAAACACTTAGGTTATTAATTTTGGCCCTTTTAATTTTGGAAAAACATTTCTCATGTTCTATTTATGCATATAAGATTTTCATATGAGTAATACATACTCATTCATGGCGCTGCGACTCATCATGCCAGAAGAAGATGCTGAGCTTCGCTGAAGATCAAGTCCCGGAGCTGCCATGGAAAGTGGGACCAGAAAGCAAATAAGAACATGAGGAAGCTGAGGACATAAAGGGTGGTCTAAACTAGAAATAACAAAGAAAATCCTAGGAAGAAGAGTCTACCGTCCACACTTCTAACTTACCATCCTTTATGGAGTGATCATTGAATTCCTTGTGAGGTTGCTTTCCAAGCCGAAATTTCTAATCAAGGTCGGAGGAAAATTATAATCAAAAGAAGCAAAAAGGAAAAGGGAAACACAAGAAAGCAAGCCAACCCTAGAAAAGCTAAAGAAAGCAAGGGAGAGATCATATTTTATGTTCAAACCTGAAGATGGCTCTTGAGGTGGTAAAGAGTAAGTCCCTTCACACCCATAACCCTCATGATTGTCTTCGGCGTCGCCTCTGCAACACAAAGAATTCATCTCTATATGAGAAAATCATGTACAGGAAATGAAAATTGAAGGATAAAGAAGGAAATTAAGGGGAAGATTAAAGTACTGTCTGGTCCTCCAAGCTGAGTAACAGCATCGACGAAGCGTTCGTGAAGCTCAACCGTCCAACGAAGACGAGGCTTGGGGTCTGTGGTGAGTACAAGACCAGAGTCCCCTTGAACACACATGGGTCTATCGTGGGAATTCATAGTTGAGGGCTTCTTGGAATGGAACATTCTTTCTCTCTTTCTCTCTCTAAGCCGCAGCGGCGTTGGGAGAGAATACGAAGGAGATTCAAGAACAAATGCGATGCAAATAGGGAAGAAAGAATAGGGTGCGTTTTTGAAGAGGAGGGAGAAGGCTTTCAACTACAAAAGACCAGGGGACAGGTTTTCCCCTCATAAAGAATAAAAAAACTATATAAAATTTTTTAAAAATAAAATAAAATAAAGCTCCCCCTATTCTAACCCTCACTTTACCAAAAGATACTCTCTTTCTTTCTCATATCATATATAAGTATAAAACTGACACATACATCTGAGAAATTACAGAAATGTATTGACAGTCTAAAACTCTAAATACAATATTTTCACAAAGAAAGAGGGGAACTTTATATTGTTTTGAGGGTACATATATATCTGTATTCTGTAATGTCTGAGGGGGAAGTGTATCTTTTGTCATACCCAAAAGAAGAGTATGTCTTTGTAGAGTTTATTCTTCTAGCATGTGAAGCTTTTTTTAGTACAAGGATATGGACATGGCCGTCATGCAATCATGATGGGAGCAATGTGTCTTGCACTCTGCCCTTTCTTTTCTTTCATCAACCCATATGTATCAATCACTTGCACATGTAATTATGTGTCCATAATGCATGCTAAGTGTATGAAATATCAAATACATCATCATGAATTCCTTTGTTTTTAGTGCATGCTAGCCATACCCTTTTTAGCTCATAATTATGAACATAATCCACAGTTTGAAGCATCCTTTATGTCATTACCAAGAAAAAGGTTGTCATCATTCTTTGACAGCAAAATTTTAAGGATTAATTAAGAGATTCTTTGCTACATATTGGTAGATTCATCATTGAAACTTCTTGTTTGATCGGCCGATTAATTAATCAGTAATTATCCAACTTACTAATCATGACTTCTGATTTTCTTTTTTCTTTTCTTTTCTTTTTTTGCTTTTGTGCCTTTTGCCACATGGTTAAAACTGCACTTGATGATAATAATTCGAATTGCAATTACTATATATTTTTCTTGGTCTGATTTTGTTGTCCCAACTACCATTTTATCCATTTATAATTATCAAGAAATTCATTTATCATTGTCTTTCAAAAAATAAATAAACAAATTCATTTATTACAGTAATTAAGATTTATCTTTCTATTATGAGTATTATCAATCTTATAATTAAAAAAATTCTTAACACATTTCTATTTCATTTGAGATTAGTATAAAATTAAAATATTAATGTTTAATATTTTACTAAAATAGAATGTGAGACAATTAAATCAGAACAAAGAAAATATATTTTTGTAACTAAACAGTGAATTAAATCTCAAAGTTTAAGCACTAATGCGAGGATGTAATTTGTCTCAATTAATCTGTACTGTCTATCAAATCTGTCGACTAATAATCAAAAAGAAGTTTCAGCTTTTATTTTGTACTTCTGGAAACCAACTTTCAAACTCGGACCTTCTGCTTTAAAAACCTCTGGTCTTCCATTTAAGAGCTAGAGGTGCAGTGTGCACCATGACATTCATGCATCTTTTTAACCTTGTCAACGGCATGCACAGAGATAGACAATTATATATAAATATATATATATATATGAGGGATATACTTGCACATAAATTTTACAAATTATAGTTATATAAAATTTTAATTATTTATCATTTTCTTTTCAATAGTTGAAATTATCACGACTTTTTAAGTGAAAAAGATAATTATTTTTAATAAATGTGAATAAATCTCAATTATTAAAAATAAAATAAATAATTGAGATTTTATATAAGTGTATTATATAAAATTTATGTGTAAATAAAACCCTACTCATATATATATATATATGAGATCCCACAAACGAACATTAATTGTCCAAAGCATGCATTCACATGAATAACTTAGATTATTAATCGGAAGTGCTAAGACACAATACAGTAGTTCTGATTAATTAAGGTTAGAGCATAAATTAACAACAAATTAGTATTAAACAGAGCAGTCGATCTAGCTAATGTGAGGACGTGAACATCAATGCATAAAGGAGTAGGGGACCCTTCTCTCTTATTCTAAAGCTATGGGGCTCCATTTCTGTATCACTTTTGTGGAATTGAAGATTGTCCTCCATGCATTTCTACTCCCATCCAAACCTAATAAAACAACTTACAGTCGAATGGGGTCGAACTCCATAAGTTGCACCGATGACCCCACTGTTAGTGAAAAAAAAAGGGTAAATCAAAGATGACCATGAACAACACAGAAGAAAGAACCATATTGCAAAGATTTCAAGTTAATACAGTAGGAACATGATAAATTTAAAGAGAAATACGGCATGATATTTAGCCAATTCCAGAAGGGAATAAATGCTTTCTTCTTTAGCAATCAAAAGAAGATTCTTAAAACCAAAAACAATCTAGAACTTCAGTGAAGTTATGCCAATCTTCTACACATGCATATGCATTAGGTTGTTAATTAGATTAACTAAGGAGATATGGCATTTAATTTAAACATCACACCAAATAGATTGACTGGCCCCCAAACAAGACAAAATTGTACTGGAAATTAAACCCATGTAATGTCAATAGCAACTAATGAATGAATGCCAAGTGGATGATGATTAAGTTGGTTCGAGATAATGCTGAAGTCTAAGTGAGTTGGATCCTAAAATCCCACCATCCCTTTGCATATTATATTCTTTACTGCTTTATTTTTTGGCACCTCTCTGTCCATATGCAAGAAAAGTAAGCATTTCAATTAGATTTGCAGATTCCTCTTGGGACTACTGTTTCTGTCCCTTTATAATATAATGAAGCAAAGTTATGGTTTAACTTTTAGTTCATTGTGTTTCAAAACCATAAACAAGTTGGGATATAGATTGGCTTAGTCTTAAGGCCATGTTTGCTTGAATTTCAAGCATCTTAATGTGCTCTAGGGAATTTATTCTTAAAACTGAATATATTCCCTTTGGAAGGCAAGATTGTGGGACCCATCTTTATTTACAGGTAGAATACTTTACAAAGCTTCTCTCTTTTTTAATCATCTCTGGAAGTTCACTTAATTGACTACTATATCCAAGGTTAACTTCCTTGTACATTTACATTTAATTTCATGCCCCCTCCCCAAGAAAAAGAAAATATTAATTCTATGTGATGAAGAAACTATCTGGAAAGGGAAGAGAAACAGAGTGATTACCAGTTCATCAAACTTTCTTCTTAGTGTCTCATTTTCTCACCATATTAAGTCTATCACAGAAATTTTCAAATAATGAGGCTTGATAATATGTTGCCTAAGAGATTTCCAGAATTTTAGTTAGAGAACATTTACATGTTGTGGGAGGACTATGTACATTAAAGAAACAAGGATGCGTGTAAAACATGTCGAGTCTAAGATTCTTTGATCATGATCATGATCATGGGTGAATTGACTAGAGATTTATATTAAAGGCGGCACAATGTGGAATATAAACTACAGGCTTCTGTCTTCTTCATATCAAATATTCTAACGATTTTGAACTAGAATACTTGCAGTGATCAATCCAGCAATTAATTGATCATGCCATTATTCTCTCTTATAATTATCCAAAGAAAGGAAAGAATATCCCCTACTAATGGAGGAGAGGAGAGAGCCAGAGACAAATCATATATCCCAAGCATTTTATTGATTAAAGTCGTACTACTTTTTATTTCATGTCAACTCATTCAATAGGATTATAGGATCATTTATTACCTATGTGTTTGGTTTGAAAGAAATAAAATGTAAATGAGGGAAGGGAAAATTTTTTATCCAAAAGTTGGGTTAAAATCTATAGGGTCCCCGGAAAATCAGGACGTCCATCAAGCCATCCATTGCATAGACCCTAGACTAAGACCCAGGTGATCGATGACTTGATGGAAATCCTGGTATGCCAAGACTTCCTCATTTTCGTTTTGCCAAATCTATATTTGATTGAACTAAAAAATTTCCCTCCCTTCCCTCTACTCCATTTTCTTCGAACCAAATATACCCTAAAAGCTCAATCAGTATTTTAGTTATCAATATTTGAGCAACTAAAATTGACATCTGGAAGCTAGAATAAAAAGTTTAAATTGATACCTTATTTACACGTTTCAAGAAGCTACATAAAAAAAAAACCAAAATTGACAACTTATTGGCACGTTTTAGGAAGCTAGAATAAATAAATAAATAAAACAAAATTGACAACATATTTACACCTTTTCCAAATAAATAATCAAAAATGATTTTTTTAATTTATTAAATTCTTTATTTTAATACGGCCCTAAGGAATTGATTGAAATTAATGGAAATTACCTTCCTAGTATGTTTATCTGTTTATGTATAAAAGAGCTATTTTTTTTCCTTTTTTTTTTTTCTTTTTTTTTCATTTCATTAGCTTGTTGTTGGGTTTTGGGACTCAAAAGGTGGGGGTGAGTCCAGCTTGTTCAGACTTATTATTAGGGGCCTCTAGCCCAGAAGGAAAAGAAAGACCTATTTGCTTTGTTATTTTTGAACAACCAGAATTGGGAAATCCTGTGTCAGGCATTTGTAGCTTGGGAAAGTTGATGAATAATGTCCCAAGAAAGAGGAGGATAATCCAGTGAATTACATCACTACCCATTGTACCAAAATAGAAGAAAGAGAAGGATAAACAAACAAGAAGCTGAGGCAGAAATGGAGGACATACTTGGAAAAGAGTTTACAACACAAACATGCAGAATAGCCAAGAGTTTGCTTGCTGATTGCAATTGGCCTGCATTTATTCAGAGACACTACGCTGCAAGAGGAACTATTTGAAAACGAAAACGCTCGAAAATGCACTTTCCGATGAACTACTTTCAAAACTACAGCCGACCAGCTGCACTGTATCTGTATTCACGGAATGAGCATTTTGGCACTACGAAACTCAAGTCAAAAAAAATACCATAAGCAGATATCTACATAAGCTCATACCTCGAGCATCATTTTCGGTTCATATCTCCAAAGCATACGTATTTGAGCTGCATTGTACGAAAGAAATTGTTTTAAAATGGCAGTAAAAATGTAAAGTAACATGCCAGAAGCTCGGGGCCTTCTCCATGGAAAATGCTTCTAAAACCACAAAAGGCAATATACTCACTTCCAGATATTCATCAATCCCATACTTGGAACCTTCTCGTCCAAGACCAGATTGTTTGACACCACCAAATGGAGCTACCTGAATTCAAACAAACAAATTAATTAGGCAAGTTTATATTTCTCAATGCTCAACAATGAAGAATAAGATGCACCTCTGTTGAGATTATTCCTTCATTAACACCAACAAGCCCATATTCAAGAGCTTCTGAGACACGCCATGTGCGTTGAACATTGTTTGTGAAAATGTAAGCAGCTAACCCTGTACATGCATTCAGGAAACTACTTGCTGAAATAATGTGTACATGTAACATGATAAAAGGAGAGGTAGCACACAACAAAATTTAAATGCATAAGCAATAGTTGAAAAATTACAATCCAACAAATATATCTTGATGACTACTCAGATAGGCATCCTAATGGAATAATAAATGAGTGTATAATACAAATCAAAAACATGCTTCTGTTAGGAATCAAAATAGAAATCAAGCCTGAAAGATGAACCTGCATTGGTGTCATTTGCAATATGAATAGCTTCCTCCTCAGTTTTAAACTGTAATAGAGGTGCCACAGGTCCAAACACTTCCTCTCTGGAGATAAGATAAGCAATAACTATTCAGAAATCTACACATTTTAAATTAAAGATGTGAGAAAGCTAAATATTGCAGCCTAAGCATATTGTTGATGAAATTAGCAGGTCAATAGTGATGCTAGATATTATGACTTGGCAGTACTCTTCAGCATTGCTACGAGGGTAAATCCAAGCAATCTCATCTGCAGAGATGAATTGAATACTTACTTTGCTATAAGCATCTCATTCTTGACATCTGTAACTACTGTAGGCTCGTAGAAAGTGAATCCAAGGCTATGTCTTTTACCCCCAAGAAGAACTTTTGCTCCCTTAAGAAGATACATATCAATCAATCAGGAAAAAATGAAAGGATGTAGAAAGCATTAACATGAAAAGAACTTTCTTGCTGTCAAAGGCAGCTACTAGCAAATATGGTTGATGTTGCAATTTTTTTAGGGAATGCCAAACACCCATAATAAATCTTTGACTTGTCAATAGACAACATATAATCCTAGT